CGTTTACAGAATGCGAAGCAGGGAGCGCTTGGCAAGAATTCTTGCCAAACCGTCCCTTCTCTGCGATTCATTCAAATCATAGTCCTTGATGAGCATAGGAAATATACATACTTGAAAAGGTAACTTATGCACAAGTCGAGCACCTGCGGTGGAACAGTCGCGCAATTTGATAGCGCAGTCAAGATGTCAGAGTAAATCTACCCAATCATCTTAAGAAAGCGCAATATTTTCGCCTATATTCATATAAGAAAACAGTGTTATTGGCAGCTTTTTTCTTTTGACTTATTATCCTGAATCAAAATTAGGCTACCCAGATTTTATGAGGTTAAATATACGATGGAATGTGCTATTAGGAGTATATTCTCGATTATTAACAATTTGTCGTGTACAGCTTTTTATTCCAATAATCTCGTTTTCAGTTATTTCAGGAAATGATAAGAAAATTACAGAATCAGATACCGTGAAAGGTATTAAGCGAGTTCCTGGCCAACGCCCGCATTCGAAGGATCGACCAGTTGCGCGACCGACGCCGTATGGTGACGCACCGCTTGACTCAAGTCAAGGACGAGGTCGCTTGAGATGCTTGATTTGAGATTTCAGCAAGGCTTAAAACGCTTGCGTTTTAAGCAGGGAAAGTATAGGTATTACTCCTTTAATTGTCATATTAATTTAATTTCTTTTGGATGTTCTCAGGATTGTGGCATAGTCGATTGGTAAATCTTTCGTGGAACTCTATATTTTGGTTTAAGCCTTCGTAATACTCCAAAGTGAACGGTGCCTTCCACCCTGTCGCATTTCACCATGGACTGTAAAGGATGAATGAATGAATGCTTTTCTACAGTATACTAGTCTAGTTAACTACATTATTTGTTGGCCAAACATTCTTATTCTTTCATGTGTGTGTGTTCTGCAGGAATGAGGTTGCCAGAATGATCAGTTAAATTTGATAGTGCTATATATTCAGTTTCTGATCTGACTGTTACAAGACGGGAGCGATCGTGTCTGGTATAGAAAGGGACTCTGCCTACTTGTTTTTGGAGGCATTGTTGAAAGAGAAGAGTGTTGCTTGAGTATTCGTTACGCCACAATTGCCAATGGTCGAAGGTAACGTGAAAAGTCACATTTCGGTAATGTGACTTTTCACGTTACCTTCGACCATTGGCAATTGTGGCGTAACGAATACTCAAGCAACACTCTCCTCTTTCAACAATGCCTCCAAATAAACAAAACTTTATTTCTTGGATTTTCTTTTTCTTGGCCCTCCAGGCTGCCCTCTGCTTCCCGCATCGCCCAGCGAGAGGATGTTTCTGCTACGTCTGGGCCTACTCCTGCCGGCGCTGACCCTAGGCACGACGCATGCCTCCGGCGCGTCCGGACGGCGCTGCTGCGAGGAGGGCAAGGGCTGTGCCGGCGGAGGCATCGTGGACGTCTTCGAGCCCCCTGTAAGCCCTTCGCTGGACGTCTCCTGGTCATTCCATCCCCTCCAGTGTCCAGAGGGCTACAGGAAGCACCAAGTGGACATCGAAGAGGACTCCCTGGTCCCACGCCAGGCCAGTTTGGAGCTGAGGTGGATGGATGTGTTTTGGAGGAGGACGACCGAGTTCTGCGTGGCGGTCAACTTCACCGGGAAATACATCGCGTTTCTGTGCCGTCCGGATGTTCAGAAGGTAAACACACACACACACACACAAGCTCAGGAAATTCTGCATGTTTTGTGTTCGATCCCCAATGGCCGGTGGAAAAGGCAGGCTTGTGCAATCCCCGAGGCTCGAAGTTGGGCCCCGGGAATCAAACCGAATTTGGTTTTTGGTAAAATTTTTGTCATCTTGTGATACTATTGGTTAATAATTATTGTTAACAATGGCTATATAACTCCTAGGTCATATGTTGGAATGAAATTTTAACTTGGTAATGCTGTCTACTCAATGAGAGCTTTATAATGCCACCTACAAGGTTTATTCAGAAGCTGAGATATGAAAATCCCTCTTATTTTGTACATGCATGTTCATTTTCCTTACTTGGTAGCAACTTTATTTATATTTCAAAACACAGTCCTCAATGAGACCTTTCATATGAGTGGTCAATCATGTCTTTTGCTGAGATTTGTTGGATCAAAAAAGTGGTACCCCCCCCCCTCTCTCTCTCTCTCTCTCTCTCTCTCTCTCTCTCTCTCTCTCTCTCTCTCTCTCTCTCTCTCTCTCTCTCTCTCTCTCTCTCTCTCTCTCTCTATATATACTTCTTTACTGAATTTTAGTGCGATGATTCTTTTCTGTAGCTCCGAAAGTAAGCGGCCAATCTTTCTGAAATTTTGAACAATTGTTGACACCTAAACCTATTAATTTATTCATTTATTTTTATTTATTTATTTTCTATTTATTTTTTATTTTTTTTTTTTTTTGGGGGGTAGCCCTTTAAAATCGCGAAAGACAACTTTATGCATTACAGCACTGTCTGAAATTTGGATTTTTTTCTGGAATTTTTCTTTTGAAACAGGCTTCGC